GCGGGCGCTGTTGTTATTATTCGCGGTACAACAATACTGGCGATTGCGTTCCGCCGCACTATTTTTACGCGGTTGTTTTTTTTTTTTTTCATTTTTCTCTTATTCGGGTCGGCGAAAATCACGAATTCCCTTTACGATTTTAATACGACCGCCAATATAACGTTACATTTCGCGACAATGCTCCGGGCAAGTGAATGCACAGTATTAATTCGGTTGGCTACGTAGCCGTGTCGATTGAAACAAAGTCAAGGGCTGGGTCTAATTGACTGATCCGATCGAACCGAATGGATTGATTGGTCGAGTCCACAGTGGTGCCGGCCACCATGAAAATAACATTGGTTAGTGGTTACCATCGTCATTTAAAAAATATTACAAAATTCAACATCCTTAGAAATCAACACTCAGCAGTGAGTACACAATTTATTCTGTTTATTATGACGATTTGCACATTATCATATAATATGAGAGTTGAGAATAATAAAAGTTCAACTCTGTTAGTTGGAAAATACTTGCTCATACTCGACTGCGGTAATGTTATTTTTGTTGGCACCACTGTCCAGGACTCGTCCACTCGGTTCAGTCAGATTATTCAATTAATAGATTTACCCCAAAGTTAACGAGTTCACTGTACAATATAAAATTGAATTGTTTTATTAATTATTGTAACCGAGTTATAAGCAACAAGTTAATTTGGACTTTTAATTAACTTAACAGCTCAAGTTCAGTTGATTTTCGTCAGAAAATTGTTATTGCATTATCACGTTGAAAATGATTAAATCTAGAGTTTGTGATTTTTAAAAAGGCTAATCAATGTCGATCACTTCGGGGTGACTATTATAAAAATTATATAAATTTAATTAATAGATAATGAAAAAAAATATATATTTGCACTGCCGTAAGTCAAATTTAGCGTATACAAACACGTTTAACACGTTGTTACATAATATTTACATTTAATAAATTGAATTATTTATTTGGAAACAATACAATAAATGAATATAATCATTTTTAATTTTATGTCGAACTTAAATTTATAATAATAAGATCTAACCGTGATAACTCCATTTAGAATCGTATTTCGTTTCCCATTATAGTTTCTGGTCGACTTTTCGTCTACAAAGAAGGTGGATTATCTATCACGAGCCGTGTCACGCCACATATTAAATATTACTTATTTGCTGTGATAAGCATAAATAGTTGTTATTGACGTGTATAAAGTAATTTATTCGTTTATTTGTAAAAATAATATATTCCGAGATAATCTGTTGTCTGATCAAAATCGTACGGAACCGTGTTCTCAAAAAAAGTAAAACGTACAGAATCGCGCTTTACCGATAAAAACGACAGACGGAAAAATCGATTACAGTTTGACAGTATAGGTAATTGCGGCACAACTTGTGGAATTGTTTTCCTTCCCGGACTGCAGTTTAATTATTGAAATCGTCCGCTATCTTTTAATTATAAGAAGGCACCTACCTATAGTGGCTATAGTTCTGCCTAACCGTAAAACGTTTTTAATTAAATAATTAAAACATATTATGTCTGATGAAATAAAATAACAAAATATAATATTCTATAATTTACTTCACCTGCGCGCATGGGCGCCCGCAAGAAATTTATCAGCGAGGATCAGCATAATAAAACCAAACACCCAAAAGTGCTTATAATAAAATTATATTTTTAAATTTTGAATTCCGGGCGGGGCATATGCCCCGTATTGCCCCCGCTGCCTCTCTCCGGGCGCCCATGGCTGCGCGTTACAACGCAAAAGTATTTAGTATTTAGTACATAACGTATTTAATAGACGTAGTATGCGCAGAAATATTTTTATGTTCTTCTATCCGCAAAGTATTTGTTTTTAACGGACGATATTAATCAATCGGGTTCAATTATAGTATTCACTGGAAAAATGTAGGTTTTTTTTTCCTTTCAGCAGTAAAGAACATAATATTATACTTTATTATAGAGTATTTGTATACGTTACGTACGGTTTATATAATACGTAAAGACACTATATATTTCATGGACAGATACCTAACAATTGTTATAAATAACGGTCAACTAACTTTACGTTTTAATTTAAATATTTAATTTACTTGTATATTTTACGTGTGTCCTATTATAAATTAATTAAAAATGAAAGTCGCGTACAATAGGATTTGTACTGGATACCGTTCTTTTTTAATAATTAAATGTTGTTTTTATTTATTTTTTTATTTTTATTGAGCCAATTAAATACCCAAATCAATTCCATTTTCAGCGCGTGGAAGTTAAAATATATATCTATTTATACAGCGGAAACTCGCTGACGCGAACTCCAGTATCCCGAAGTTTCTGTAAGTGAAATTTTTTTTTTCAGCCCGGATCATTTAGTATTGCACTTATGTGTTGATTTATTTCGGTACATCGAATTTCCATAAGTCGAATTTTTTCTATAAGTCGTAGTCATTATATGGTACCCACCGTCTATTACGATTCACTAATTTGAATATATTATGATAGATTAGATAAAGTATAAAATGCCCATACCATAAAATATAAGATAAATGACAGAGCTTGATCAACGTTGGTATTTAATTATAGATTAGATAGCTAGTTACCGATAACGGCGATAAAGTTTTACGGACTTTACTTTTTCTTGATTGTGTTTAGTGTTCAGTCGACTGCCAACCTGTCGTTTGTATTTGTTCGTGATTTTAATTACATATACAGTTTGTGTTGAATTTTATTAAGTGTGTTTTTTTCTTTAAATTGTCAAATAAACGATCTTTGAATTTCTTAAATGGTGACAAATTAAAAATTATAAAAAAAAGTTGAAAAAGGTGTGTAAAGAAAAAAAAGATATTGCGGCAGATACTTTGTCATCAATTTTAAAAAATGTTGAAGATTCCAATCCAAATAACGAATACTAATAATATGTATACAATATATAAATAAAAATTTCTCCCAATAAATAAGAATTTTTATTTCAAATTTTATTAATGTTGAAATTCACTAGGTAACTCGAAGTTTCGATATGACGATAGTTTTTTTGGTCCCTTGAAACTCCGAGATACCGAGTTTCCACTGAAATATACTTTTTTGAACGACGAAATGCATTGTTGAAAAACGAAAAATTTCTTTAACCTTTTCCTAATCACGCTTTTACGATTTTTGAACCAAAATTATGAAATTTCGAATGTTGCATAATATAGGTATATTACGTAATTGGATTTTTTTTTAATTTTTCGTCGATAACCAAATTGTTTGATATTAGTAATCGTTCAGGACTTTATTTTCGTGTAAAGGACATTGCGATTCAAAAAAAAAAAAAAAAGAATAAAATAAAATAAAAATCAAAGACCTTAAATGTATTCATAGTAGGTATCGAATCATATAAATCATTACAAACATGTATAAATAGATACGTATAGTATTATTATGTCAAACCGAATTAGAAGTACGCGAATATTATTACTTTTTGCTATACTATTCTACAATTATTCTTTCCGCGAATAGCTTTTCTAAGAATAGATCACGGGGAATGAGGGGGATTAATATTTTGTCATAAAAACGTTTTTATACAAAGTATTTTTTTAAAGTAAATAAATATAATGTAGAATTTATTTCGAGAAAAACCATCATATCATAATAATAAATCTATTTTCCTTAGCTGTAGATTTAAGAGTTTGTCCAAGAACATTATATTTTTTATCAAGACGCTTTTATGAACTGCATTATCCGTTTAGTTGATTCTAACCTACAGCATGTTGTCTTTGATTATAACCATAATATATATTATAACGCGAGATTGTTGTAAACGACATAACAAATAACGTTTTAACTAACAATTTAACTTTGTTAAAACGTTTATTTTTCCATGTCAAAATTTTAGAAGTACAATTGAAAGAAAAAAAGGCATAAAGGGGATGGGATTGGACTCCCCTCTCCGTGGTTGTACGTTCTTGGACTCTGAGTATGACAATAAATCGGAAAAGTATTATGATGCCTATTCTAAATAATACATCGGCGTGATGTTTTTCGGTAATTCGTTCGCAATAACATAATAAATTAATAACTTAATTATTATGTATACGAGAGAAAATTAAATTATAATTTCAAAGCTTTTTATAAGTTTGAGGATATATTTACGGCGGTCTAATAAAGTGGTCTCGTTTATAATTTACGGTTACAAGTTACGACACCGGTATACGTTTTATATTAATAAAAATCTTTACAAAATATCGTCGTTTTAAACGAATTATAGGAACGAGTGACATATTCTATTGTAACCTGTGTAATTTTTGGTATTTTTTAAAAACATTTTAGATTTTTAGATTTAACGGAGCTAGGGATTTTTTGGTTTTACTATGATATGTTTTAGATGCGGATATTAGGAATTTTCAATTCATATAAACATTGAATATTATTATATATCTGTTTGTTTTTTTGTTGTTATTTTTCGAATTACACAAGTATTAGTTTAAAAAAAAAAAAAAACCTTTAAGTATTCACAACGCATTGTGTAATTCACTGTCAAGCATTAGCATCTAAAGCGTTACTAAAAAAATTCGTGTATACCTACAATGAAACAGACCGTAAAGATAGTATTCACTATTCAAATCAGTGCATTGAATATTCATCTTTTTTAAAAAGGAAACTTGAACTTAGAACACTACTTCTCCATAACGAAGCCCGTTGGTTTTTGAAAGGAAACGTGTTGGCACGATTATATCCACTAAAAAAGGAAGTGGCGGTTTTTTAACCAGGAAAAAATTATTGATTTACCGAAGTCTATTTGTGATAATAAGTTTTAAACGCACTTGGATCATCTTGTCGATATCGTTGAACATTTAAATAATCTATAATTTACAACTAATAGGGTCTGGAAATAATAAATCGGATGGCACAGGTAACATATTTGTATTTGAAGATAAACTTTGCGCGTTTATATGCAAAACTAATTTATGGATTAGTAAAGTTTAATTTAATAATTAATCAACGTTTTTAACATTGAAAAGCTTGGAAAAAAATACGCCGACTTCACAATTGAGATCCAGCATTACGTTTTACGCCATCTGCAAAAACTTAAAGATGTATTTAATCGATATTTCCCAGAATGCGAAGGTATACAATTGATAGCAGATATGTATCCGAAGTATGATTCAAAACTCATTCGTTGTTTAAGTGGATGAGTTACCTGGTGACATCCAAGAAAATATCATTGAGTTACAAAACGATCGGAACTGTAAGGTTACATTTGAATCTGGTGTGAATGTGGATGAGCTTTGGTTTAAAAGAGCGATTGTGTATCCTAATCTTAGAGAAATCGAATTGCGATATTTACTTATGTTCTCGATAATTTTACTTATATTTGCGAACAAGGACTGCTTTACCCAAATCAAAAACAAACAAAGAACTCGATTAAACGACTCTAAGGACATGCTTGTAGCCTTGGGCAGGACTACCGACAATCGGACAATAATGTCTTAATTATTTACCTTTAATAAACATAACAATAAAATAAAATTATTTTTATCATAGTCAATTTGGTTAAAAAATATAAAATTTCTTCTTAAGATTGAACAACAATAAACATTGTTTCCTTTTTTGTTTTTTTTACTTCGTACAGTACTATAATATAGTCCGCTCTTGCGTCACATGTTTTTCGATGGGCGCGTTCGTATGGTTTTTATTATTTCGGTTCTCTGGCCGCCCGAAAATAAAATCGGCTTACACATAAGACCAAAAAAAAAAAAAAAAAACCATTTCTTCATTTTTTTTTGTTCAAAGTATCTTATTTTTTTCGCCGTTCATTTTCGGGACGCCGGGAGACAGATGACGGCGGGGCAGAGCAAAACCAATTTTCTAGAATTGGTGAGTACGCGCGCGAATTCGCCCGTGTCCGTACACATAGGGGTAAGTATACGTATATAATACGGAGCGACGGTGCACGGTATACACAACAACACATGGGCTTTAGACCGGGAAGCCGATTGGCGGGAACGCGGGGTCCAATGAGCTGAGGGGATGATATATGGGCGGCGGACACCGCCCGCCTGTCCGGGAGTTAAAACCGCTGCGGGGAGTAGGCAGTGGGGGCGGTGGTGGCGGCAGAGGCGAGGGTGCAGGCGGTTTTGCCCGCGCGCGTATATAGCGCCGCGCACACGGCAAATAACAAATGCCCACCCGCCCCACGCCAATCACTTCCCTCGTTGTCCCCGTCGTCCTCGAAGAAACGCTGTGCGGACGCGTGGTGTAGCAGCGTGTCGGGGCGGGGTGACCCGCGACGAGGGTGCAACGGTGGTGCGGGGGTGTGCCGATTGCGTACTCGTGTGTGTGTGTGTGTATGTGTGTGCGCGCGCACTCCCGCGCCCATCGCATGTGTGTGCGTGTGCTCTTTTGAAAGCATCCCTTCGGTCGTTTTATTGATTTATGTGCACGAGTGTGAGTGTACATATGTGTGCGCGGGTAGGTCTTCTTTGCTTGCCCAGGGACGTGCGTTATACGCGAGCTCGTTCGCGTGTGCGTGTGCCCCTCACCCCCTCCTCCCAGTGCGCGTTAAGGTTTCTTCCGGGCGAGAGACGTGAAACGCTATTTCCATCCCTTTCGTCCCTTTTCCGCGGTCCCTTTGCCGCCACCGCCGCCGTCGCCGCGCGTTCACCCGCACCGCGGACACCATTAGACGAGTCTGTACTCCTTTGAATGTTGCCTATAACCCGCCGCCCTTTTTGGAAAGTACGATGGGGAGGGGGTGGGTTGAGGAAAAAAAAACTTTCTCTCTCTGTAGCGCGGCCGCCGCCGCGGTGCTCCCAGCCAAAAGTTCTCTATGCTCCCTCGGCTTTTCTCTCGTCGTCTGCACCGGACTAATCGCATTTCGGGCACTCGCGGCTCCTTGGCAACCCATACGCGCAGCGCTCGCCTACCATAACCTTCTTACGTATACCATTGACAGTATGTCACGAACTATAAAAGACATTCGCTCTCGCGGGGTCTGATGGTTGCACTTTATCAAAAAAAAAAAAACAAAAAACAAAAAACAAATATAATACGGTATACGGTCGTACATTGTACGTACTGCGCGCACACGTGTTTTATTATCAAGACTGGGCGTCAACTACTTAGGAAGTCAGGGGTTACTTTTATCTATTAACTTTTACCGTAGGCAACTAATTACATTATTCATACACCGATTTAGATACTTAACCACTTACTTTTTTTCATAAAATCACTTGTTAGATAAGTAAGTTGTTGTAGACACTATTTGTTAGGTACTATTTAGGTATTTTTAGACACCTAAATTATATGGCCGGACTACACTCGGGTCCAAAGCAGGTAATGGTCAAACTGCACTTATTCGGACGAAGAAGTTTTGAAATACCGTATGCTATCTAGTGCTCATATTGAATGCGTATTAGGCCTCGATACTTAACAATTAGCGCTGGGAGCAAAATATTTTAGAAAAAAAACGATTATGCATCAAATAACAATTTTGAGATGACGTTTTTATCAACAATTATAATAATGTAAATGACAATGTTACTTTGTTTTTTTTTTTTTTTATCTAAGTAACTTTTTCAAACGTTGATGGTGTTTTTACATAATAAATTTTAATCTGACTAAATCACTATTTTTCGTATAAATTGTAAGTAATTTACATTAGTAATTAGTTTGTTGTATTTTTTTGTGTAATTAAAGTTTAACTTGTCCAGACTTATCCAGCATTATATTACAATATATATATATATATATAAAAGGGAGACTTTCGTCATTAGGGCGAAATACGTAATGATTGTTTAGATGATTTAAATATCAAACAAACAATATAATAATAAAATAACTTAAATACATTTTTTTTTTTTGTTTTATAAAGTTTTATTAAGAATACTTAATTTTTATTTAAAAAAAGTTTTTTTTTTAATAACAATTTTCCTTAACGTTCTTTCCAAAACAATAAAATCATCATTAAGATATTCAGTTAAGTAATTATAAAATTGCAAGGATGTTTAAAAAAGTTTTATTCATATCATTGATTTTATCAAACGTTTCGTATTGTTTGACAAAATACGTTACTACAATAGTTTTGTATTCTTTATTAGTTTTAATAAATATATTTTATTGGTTTAGTATTTCATATCTATTTTCGTCAAAAAGAAGTATCGACAGATTTCCAAATAGGAAGTCTACTCAATGTCATCGTACATATTTTAAGTTGCACGTACAATCAGTTGTATTCACGCCTTCAATACTTATAGATGTTTTGTAATAATGAATGAATAATTTTAATGAGCGTCATTTTTTTATTGGTATTTTTTTTTTAAGAAAAATATTTTTTAGAACTCAATTCAAGTTATAGAATTAATAATCCTCAAAAATAAAATATTAATACATCGTGAATAATTATATTATATACATATTATGGTATATTTATGTTGATTGTATCATATATTTTTTTATTCAATAATGTTTTTCAGTATAATAAATACATAATAGTAGTAATTTCGTTTTTTAAATTCTAATAGGATTTAAAATGTAGACTTAATAAATATTTTTCGTTTAGTATTAATGGTAAATAAATAAATTTAACTTTTACGTATTATGTACCTACACGTAATAACTAATAACGGTATTGGAATTAAATATTATAATAATAATTATTGCGATTTTTTTTTTAGGTGATTTTATTTTAATATTAAATAATAAATCTTTTACCAGCAAGTACGAAAAAATAATACTTTGATATAATATTTATAAAAAAAATCCGGACATTAATTCACACCGTGGGATGTTGAAGATATATACGTATACCTGTAGTATTTAAGGTAATTGAATTTATACTCACAAAATACAGATAAATCAAAAAACCTTTCTGAGTGAATTTCTTTTGAACTGTTAAGGTTATATTTTATATACCAGAAATTAACGAGAATACGTTTGAAACGCTTTTCATTTTTCACTAATTTTTTTTTAGAAAAAATGTTTCAATTAATGTATGTAAACTACCGGATAGCAAATCCGTATCTTTTAAGGTGCAGCGTAAAAAAGACGTCCTAGGATTATGGGAACGGGTGCAACCACTGTTATAGATTAGAAATATACAAATCTAAAAAATCTGTTCTAGGATACAATTTATACAATCTAATGTATACCTGTAAGCAACCATAAACCATTGCTTACGGTAAAACGAATCTGAAAGGAGTTCAGTTGATATTGTCAACAATATAATTGTCATTTTATATTAAAATAATTATATAGACTTTATATATTTTCTTTAATAATGTTTGTTTAATGTTGTACCGATTTTCCAGTTTCCTATGTTTTATCCCGGTTTGCACATTTGCTGGGAAAACTCCTGAGAAAAATCGAAAAAAAAACCTCTCCAGTGTACCTTCCCACACCGATTTCCTTTCAAAAAAGATGCTACACTTAGAAATCCGAGCAAGTCTTTTGGTAGAAAAGTTGTTAACAGATAAAAAATAAATATCTTTTGTAAAACCATAAGCTTCTTCTCTTCACTCAGAATCTAAAAATCTGAGTATTTTTATTATTCGAAAACTCAACATTTAAATGTTGAATTATTTTGGTTTATTGATATATTGTGCAACCACATATTACACTTTAAAAAATTGTTTTAACAATAATTAACCGTTCATCTGGCGGGGTGAGGAGAAGGGGAATCGACCTCATAAAATGTCTGCACTCCTTTTTCAAAAACAGAAGTGGCACACTTAATTATTATCGTTTTACTATTACGGATATAGTTCTCAAATTAATTCCATTATACGTATACGTACGGACTTACTGATGCCGTTATAAATGTATAAATTAGTTTCTTTGAGAAAACACATATTTTAAGATCGGCACTTTATTTACCTGTTATGCATATAGTAACTGATGACTATATGCATAGTCTTACGAGACCGGATAAGTAAATGCTCGCTGTTGGACGGAGAGGGGTTTGAAATTTTAAAACGACCAATGGCAAAGCATTATACCTGCCTATATATATAAGAAAACGACTCGGGGGAACGGAATGCGAAATGGAAAGCAAACAGGAACGATCGTGCAGTATATTTCGGTACGAATAAAGAACACTTCAACATCGGTCTATAACGTTTTCTCGTTTTCTATCGCCCTAGCCCCGTACGCCACTCGGGTTTCGTCAAAGTGAAATTCAAAGGTTTTAAAAAAAAAATATATTTACGAAATAATATTATGTATAAAGTATAGGGGAACGGCGATTTCGTATTTGTTTTTTTTTTTTTTAATGTACACACGTTGTGAATTAGTTACAAGTATATATTATAATATATGCGCGTTTAGGCACTTAAATGAAAAAAAAAAAAAAAACAAAAACAAAACGTAAAACGTTCTCAGAACGTTATTTATATTGAGATTCGTTTGTATTTTATTTAAATAATATACCCGTGTTCTTGAGCTTGAACGTTTGCGAAAAATAAAACTTTGATTGAAAACATCGTTTTAAAAATAAA